GGGGGGGGGGACTAAGGTTAGCCAAGCCTCCTTCACTCCATTGGTTAGAGTCCCACTGCCTTGCTACCTACGACTGGATTTTTTTCTTTTGACAAGCACAATTTACACTGAGTTCTCCCCTACGCCGCTATTTACTTTGAAACCTGATTAGTATGGGTTGTCTATTGTCACAAGAGGAAGAAACTCAAGATACAATAGTATAAAAATATATATAGGAAGGACGCACATTAAATACATATATAGCGCTAAGCGATCCGACGTATTAAAGTTCGGATTGGTTAGTTATTAGCCGTTGTAATCGCTTACTTATGCATGTGGATGTGCAAAGTATAATATGATGATTGTCTTGCGCATCTGTATGAAATACCGGTTTAGCTTCGCAGGATGCTGTGCAGAATGTCACCTAACGTCGGAGATAATGCTGTTCTAATTACGGAGAATAGAAAGCTCTATTGCTCAATGCAAACCGCTATTTGTTGTGTACAGGAGATTAATTGTCATTTTGATAATACGTCTAATGAATGAAAGCATTGGCATTTGTTTAAGGAAAGCACAAACGATTTATTGTATAATTTTTAAATGTTGGGTATCGGCGGTCTATGTGGCGACCGAGAGCTGTGGGATACAGATGTAAAATTTCTGGGTCGGGCTGCCATCTAGTGTACAGTAGACAATCACTTGAACATTTTACTGTATCATCCATTGAAATTAAGAATGCATTAAATTAAACATACAAGAAATGTCTTTCCCTAAAGATGTGTGCACATATTTTAAGGGGGATGTATTGACATAGGTGTTTTATTTTGTCTTTTAATAAAATGTTTACAGACTTCTTTAGTACTGAATGGTGTTAAACGCGCAAGAATTCAGTTGTCATTATTCTGTTATAGATTTATAGATTGTAGATGCGCCTTTTTGATTTTACTGGTATTTTCGGTAAACCATCGTTCAATATAGGAACAAAGTGACAGAAACTTTCGAAATCGCACTTTTAGTTACATTTTGCATTTGCTTTTGGGGAAGTGATGTACAACCAGGCATTTTCCCCACCCACGATTATCAAAACAAACACTTAACCATTGTCTTCAATTTTGCGGGGGAGTGAAACAAATGCGAATCAACCGAGTACGAGGGAAAAAGTTTTGCGAGCGTTTCACAAATATTTAACCTCACATATTGGACTAGAGCGGGAGCGCGGGAGAAAAAGATGGGGGAGAGAGAGTGAGTGAGAGAGAGAGAGAGCAGGATAGCGAATGAGAGCAGAGGCAAGACTAGCAAGACAACAATGTGGGAAAGGGGGGGAAAGTGGACACTTGGACGTTAAAAGAACAAGAAGCAGCCGCCGAAGGTAGCATGAAGGTCCTGCCAAAACATGATTTTTCGTTGCAGGTAGGCAATTAAAATTTTACCGATCCATTTTTTTAAACGTATAAACTGGATTGCTAAAAAAAAGCGCAACGCACGCGTACAAATAATTCAAAAGAACCCCATGTGTCCATGCTTTGCAGGTCGTCACTCCACGGTTATTTATGATTTGTCGATTAGTTGAGATTATTAGATAATTACTTATCTTTTATTATCTTTAAATATTCACAATTTTAATTCAGATGGTCTTCTGTATGCTTTCGTAAATTATTTATTTTTAATATCGTCAGTTGCAGCGTTAGCACACAAGACAATCTATCCTTGCCACAGTACAACCATCTCACGTGCATATTTTTGATGTTGTTCAATAAAGATTGATTGCAGGTTCCTAAGTGCGATGATGTTGATGGATTTAAAGGGCAGACAGAAAATGAATTCGACCGGCGAGTAGAGAGAATTGGGTCGTCTTTGGGTTCCATTCGCCACTTGATATCATAAGCTGTTTTGACCCTAAACAAAGAGAAATTAATGGAGCAAAAGGCAGTGCAGATAGTCAACTTTACTTGTCTTTCGTGTTTAGAAATAAGCGGGAAATTGTATTAGAGAAATGCATGCAACGGATTTTTGTGTTGTAGCCTACCCTAACATCGGGATACTAGATATATAAATTAACAGCTCTGTATGTAATTGTCAGCAAGCTTTGCTTTGCTTAAACTCACTGCAGGTTTCTCTGAACCTCGAGCGCCAAAAAGCGAGCGCACAGCATGAACTTGTTAATGCATTTCCCTTTAAAATCGATGGTTAAGTTTAATAGGTAATGCACGATTTAAATCACATAGAAGTGTCTAACATAAGTGACGTGAACTTCGGAACTCCCAAGTGGTCTCCCAGCGTTTCTTGAATTTTTCTTATGGATTGGTATAGAATCGCGTAGTCGCCAGTCATGAACCTTTGGTTAAAATACAAGTGTAGTTATCAAAATCAGAACAATTACACTGTTTCGTGTTTGCATTGCATCGATAGTTAAATTTAGCCCCCTGATTGCTTCACACAACCCCGAGCGAATAATCTGCAGCATTCCGCAACTAAAATTTCGAAATAGTGTTTCAATTTCGAAATGAAGTGTGTGAAAATAGCTTTTCTGTATATCACAACTAATTTATATATAACAGACACCCTCAAAAAATATTATCAAGATTATCTTATAATTACTATAATTGTCCAATAACACGATTGAAGTTTGCCGTTGGATTGAAGGTTAAGATAGATATGCGAACAGTGCTTGATGCA